AATTAACTTTAAAAATAAATTATAATTTATATATAATTATTGTTTCTTTATTGTTCTGCTTCTCAAGTATTCATTTTTCTCAGTCGCAACTTATCAAATCAATTTTGTATTTATTTTCTCACGTTAAGTTGGCGTAATGGTTAGCATGTTAGCTTGCGGAGCGTTAGGTTAGGGGGTTCGATCCCAGCGAGCGTTAAATATTCTTCATTTATGTAAGCGATTGCGTTAAATAATAATAGGTAGGGGTAAAATATAAGGTCTCCAATAATAAATAATGTGTTAATTGTATTATTAATTTCATATTTAATTTTTTTTAGTGCTGGTGTTACTACTTAATTTGAAATTGGGTCCCCTTTGGGATCATTATTTGTCGGGATAGAGTTGTGCATTCTTCTGATTGTATCAGTATATAAGTTTTGTTGTTTACTAATTCAATCAATTACTTTTTACAACTGATTATATACCTAGAGTACACTTTTCACTGATTGCTTATTTTTGTCATAAAATGTAGGGTAATTCCCAGGAAAACTCTCATGGCCCTGGCAAGTTCATCCCTAAGTAGGGCAAATCCTTACAAAACCGTTTCAAGCCATTACTAGACCCTTGCCAGTTTGCCATGTCAGGCCCTTGCCGGAATCCTGGCAAACTGGGAAGGGCCTTGGGAGGCCCAGACCATAATTTCTGCACGGGAAAGGATGTCCTTGGGACATCCAGTGGATGTCCGTGCCTATTTCAATTAGACAAGTATTTTGACAGTGAGTTCTGTTCGTGTCGACGCGACCCAAAAAAAAATTATTGTAGAAGCAGCCCCACGTGGGAGCTTAATAGAAGAGGCTATTTGAATAAAGATGAATCTGTCCCCTATTGAAAATCCCTGTACAAGATCTTGTACATAGAAAATGTACTTGTTCAACTTGTACCTGTTCTGGTGAGAACATGTACAAGAAAATGTACAATTTCGGCACCAGAATTTGGAACAAGTTCTTATATCAGAACTTGTACAAGATCTTGAACATATTCTTCTGCAGGTTCTTCATTAAGTAAAAATTAAAAACTTTAAAGGCTGAGCTATAAATTATTAATATCTCAAAATTTTTTTGAAAACAAATTTTTTTTAAATGAACTTGTACAAGAACATGAACCGTTTCATGTGTAAGTACTTGTACATAAACCAGCACAAGAATATTTACAAGAACAAGTACATTTTCTTCTTGTATACAAATATTAAATATATTTTCTTGTACAAGTTCTGATATATGAACTTGTTTCAAATTCTGGTGCCGAAATTGTACATTTTCTTGTACATGTTCTCACCAGAACAGGTACAAATTCAGCTGCTGAACATGTACATTTTCTTTTACAAGATCTTCTACAGGAATTTTCAATAGGTTCCTTGTATAATTATTGAAAGCGACTTTCAATCACAGCACCTATACTGATCTGTAATTGCACCGTAGTTAGACATATAATAAGAAAAAATTGCACATAAACGTTATCATTTTTCAAGGGGGGCCTGGAAAAATTCGAGAGGGGCCGTGCCTACCCGGGCCTCTACCTAGCTACGCCAATGCTGTTCTGTGATACGTGTGTAGAAGAATAAACGCATCTGACTTACGTGCCTGGAATATTTTTTAAAGATTTAATGGAGAAAAAAAATGTATAATATAATAATAAAAAAATGTTACATATGATTTTCATTACAAACTTAGGTACTAAAAAAGTTATTATTTTAACAGTGTTAAAAATTAATAAATAAAATATTTTCTTCACTGTCATCCGCATTCATTTTTCCGTTCATGTTTCAAAATATTATAATAAAAAATGCAATAAAAGAAATTAAAAAATTAATAAAGATATAAATATATATGACATACTCTCTAAATCTAAATCAGTAGAAATTTTACTAATTCAAATAGTATTTTTCATTTTAACTGAAGTTTCAGTTATTTTTTAAATTTACTAATATAATTAGTGAATATGCCAGCAATAGAATATAACTTATGTAAATCAGTAATTTGTATATAACATAACCTTTAAAATTAACTATTAAATCAGTAGATTTTGTGTCCGCCGCCATATATTTATATTACTGATTCAATCAGTAATAGATATTTTACTAATTGAATCAGTAAATTTCTACTAATTGTCAGTTGCTCAATTCTCGCTATGTCAATTAGTAGATTTCTACTGCTAATCAGTAAAATATGATTGATTCAGATTTAGGAAGTAAATAGTTTTCCTTAAATTTTTATATAATATTTACATAAATTGCTTTACATTTTATTATTTTCTTTATGTATTAAAAAGCATTTTAAATATTACAATAAATTATAAATAAATTCATTACTTACTAACATTACAATAACAAAAAAAATTTTTAATATATTTTGAGAAAAAAAATCATTTGAAATAAGCGCGCACATCTGTACGTCGCTATTTTCTCTTTCTTGGGGCACTGCTTTTAATTAAAAAATGAAATTTGACAAAAAAAATATGTATTTCATTATAAAAGAGTATTAATTTTTAATACATTGATAAGATTATTATTTTAAAAAAAGAAATACAAAAAATAACACATTTACTTCAATTTATTCATACTTTTGGAAGCAACCGACTTACCCTCCTTCGTAGACGAACTGACCCGCACCTCAGACCAATTTGTCATTTTTTCCATCAATACTTTAATCATAATTTATTAAATATTTTCATTAAGTCTCTAGGTACGAGCGTCCCATAGATTTAAAAATATTTTTTAACAATTTTACTGAAGAAACAAATATCTAATACTTACAGTACGTTTAAGTAGGTAAAGAAGAGTTTATGTACCATCAAAAATCGTTATCCAATTGTTTTAATATTGGAAATATTATAATTGTCAATAAATTTCAAGATTAAGTGAATTTCCACAGCCACAAAAAAATAAAAAAGTGTCTTGATCTGGGGTCGAGACCCCATCGGTATTCCGATGTATTTTGATGCGCTGAATCCGAATCCGCCATTAGGATTTGGCCAATGGGTCCTGGTTTCGCCCTAACCTCAAAAAATACCTTAAAATCTATAAAATTGTCTCATTTAATTGATCAAATTTGAACTCAACCACATATTGATAAGTTTCTAAGGTCTTTTTATTTAAATAAACTATTCTACAAGCTCTCCAAGTGAAAATTTATTAAAAAAACATCAAGTCTATCGATTCTAACCTCTAAAATACATCTAAGCTTCCAAACAAACAAATTATACCATACATAGCGCAAAAAAATTAGGTAATCTCATAAAAGTTACTACTTAGGTCTTTTTGTGGTTGCTGATTACGAATCCGATTGTCAAGATTCAAAATAACGGATCCAATAAGGCGGACAAAATCCTAAAATTGGACCTGAGTTGATGAAAGTTGTTACTCGGGGGTTTTCGGGGTCGCTGATTACGAATCCGATGTCCGTTTCTAAAAATTAAAAATGGGGATCTTATATTGCGGATTTTATTATTTTAACGAGTTTTTTAAAATTTATCACTCGCGGCTTTTCGGTTGCATGATGACGTCGGAAGATCCGCTTTCCCACCCTGACCAGACGCCGATATACTGGGGTTCCTAATCCCTGTATTGTAAAACCTTTTTTACCTGTATCTGCCCTGACGGCAAGAACGCCGTTTACAGTAGGAAATCTGCCTGTATGGATCAGTTGTCCATTATCACCACGTGTGGTGTATGCTGGATATAGATACAGGCAAAAAATGCTAACATGGAGAGATTCTGAACCACGAGTTATCAATAGCATATATTTAAAGATTGAGTGCTGTTAAGTTCACCAATTAAAAATTTAATGTCAGATTCGTAATCAGCGTCACCAAAAACCCCCAAGTAACGATTTTCAAGCGAATCTGATCAAATTTTAAAAAAATTGTCCCCTATATTAGATCCGCCATTTAGAATTTTTAGAAACAGACATCGAATTCGTAATCAGCGACCCTGAAAACCTCTGAGTAACAACTTTCATTAACTTAATTTTTTTACGCTATGTATGGTATAATTTGTTCATTTAGAAGCTTAGATGTATTTTAAGGTATTTTTTGAGATTAGGGCAAAACCAGGACCTGTTGGCCAAATTCTGATGGCGGATTCGGACTCAGCTCATCAAAATACTTAGGAATAAGTATTGCTCGACCCCAGATCAAGACACTTTTATTGTGTGTGGCTGTGTTGTTCAAGTTTGATGCGATAATTTTTTAAAAGAAAGTAAGTGTTAATAGTTTTTATGGTAAAATAATTACATATATTATAATTTGATGATATTTCAAATTAAATTTGTGTTTAGTAACTTTTGTTTGATTTTATTTAAAATAATTTATATAATATATAAAATCCTGATGGCATTTTCAAGTCCAATAACCAACAAGTTGTAAATTCAGATGTTCATTACATGAACATTTATTATATTTATTAATTTTTTTATTTAAATATTCAAAACAATCAAAACAAACAACATTTTAGAATTTTATAAATAACAGGAATATTCTCTCAATATCACAGGGATATTCCCTTAATATCAGAGGAATATTCCCTCAATATCACAGGGATATCCCCTCAATATTACATGGATTTCACGGGAATATTCCCTCAGTATCATACGAATATCACGCGAATGTCACAGGAATATCACCGTGGAATGTCCCCATGAAGCGGACATTATATCGCCTGAATGTCACAAGAATATTCTCGCTTGATATCACCTTGATCAAGCAATATTCCGTGCTACGTGGGAACGGGGCATATGCTCACTTTAAAATTTTACAGTGATTTTTGGGTCATCAAATGTTTGATTTGACATAAAAAAAGTTTCAAAATTCGAGGTACAAAAAGTGCCATTTTTTGAATGGGGCTTGCTGGGAGTTATTTTTACAATTATTCTAATAAAACTTTGTTGAATCGTCCTAGTGATATTAGTATTGAATAATTTGCTGAATTTTTATTAAAGTATATAAAGTGAAATACGTTTACAAACCTTTCAAAAGTGGTACTAAACGTCCCCAACATGTAATGGCACCTTTTCTATTAAATTGTCCTAATGCTAACTCCATGTAGAATAACGGAATTCCTCCAACAACAAGCATTATACAATACGGAATCAGAAATGCTCCTAAAACAATAATTTAATTACTTTTGTTAATGTACTTTTATATCTAAAATAATATTAACATTAAGACAATATTTCATATGTGTGTAGTATATGTATATGTAGCAAAGACTAAGGACGATTGTGAAAATTTTGAAATCGTTTACAGCTCATGTGGAAAAGTGAGATTGCCAAGGTAGGACCCTCGTAGGCGTACTAGTTATAATGATGGGTACAGGTGGGAAGGTTCAGGTGGGCAAATCCCAAGATTTGAAACAGCAGGGCCCACTTGGGAAAAGTCACAGGCAAAGCTTAGGAAATTTATTTTTATTTCTACTTTTGGATATACAAGTAAGGGTATCTCCGATTTTAATAAAAGTTGGTATACTAATGTATTTTGGTGCGCTGATTACGAAAATGATAGTGAAAATAGGCGTAAATTTGATTATCATGGTGAAAACCATAAAAAACACATAAAAATCATGGTTTTTTGCGATTAACTTGTGAAAAAAGTAAAATTTCGAAAAATGTTTTGAACAAAAGCTGTAGGTCTCAAAAAAACACATATTTTATGTCCTATTCATTTTTTACCAAAAGTGATAATTATTCAAGAAAAATACAAAAAACCATAAATAACATAAAAAATAATGGAGAAAGAATGCACATCATAACTAGAGAGAAATATTGTACTTGTAAGTATACTATCGTATTTTGATGCGCTGATTTTGATGCGAAAATGATACTGAAAATTGGCGAAAAAATTTATTATCATGGTGAAAACCATAAAAAGCACCATAAAATCATGGTGTTTTGTGATTAATTTTACTAAAATCGAAGGTACTCCTACTTCGGAAGTACACCCCTACTTTTTTGTTTTAAAGTATCAGAAGATCTATTTAATGATTATTTATTTGTCAGTTGATTATTTATCCCATTAATTTAATCATTTATTTGTTTAAACGCCTGAAATTTTACAAGAGAAAATTAGTTGATTCAACCTACATATAAAATATCATGTTCTTGTATATATATATATATATATATAGGAGGGATGTATGCAGGTTGGGACGGGTTTTGTTTTTTGAGAAAATTTTTAAACAAAAAAAATAAAAAGTTTTATATGCTGTTTAAAAAGTATTGTCCAGGGCTACAACATTGCCTAAGAAAGTAATTTATTTCAAAAATAAAATATTTACATCTGATTTTCCGAATACGGTATTATTGTCCAAAAAATAATTTGACATGCAGGTTGAGACACACCTAGTAATCTTGAAATGGTTAAAAGAAAAAAATAACGACGTCATTTTTTAAATGTTTCTTATTTGTATTAAAAGTATTGGAGAAATAAAAAGTTTAAAAATTCATTAATTTTTGTCAGAATCGGCATCTGAGTCGCAAGTTTGTGTTAAAAATTTTTTAGTGTATTTGTCCCACAGTTACTGCCAATATATTCAAATGTTTAGTAGAACCTATTGTCACTTTTTTCTTACAATTACTAATATTTTATCTAAATGTTTATTAGAGGATGCTTGTTAGTGGTTGATTTTGATTCCTTTCGGGTTCATAGTTGTCAAATAAAAATGGATTTTATATGATCACAGACCTCGAGTAAACAAATTCAGGTTACAGTATATTTATTATTAGTAAAAAGATACATAAAAAGGATTTTTATGCGACACATCAACCGCGCTATAAAGACTGTGAAAGTCAACTGAACTAAGGCTTACCTTGTATTTTTCGATTTCATTATTCTGATTAACATTTGTTTTAAATACCCATTTACCTAATAGCACGTTTTTATTTGCAGGTCTGTTGACGAGGATCCAGGTATTATTTTCTTTTAATAAATCAAATTTACTTCTCATGGCGGTTAGTCAGGACTCTTTGTCATTTCCTTTCAAAACTTTAGGCAGAGATCTGGGTTCATTGCGTTTGGTTTGGTAAACTTTTTTTGGTCTGCCAGGTTTTCCGGTTCTCTCAAATGTCGGACGTCCTTCTCCTCGTTTTGGTTAATTAACTGCCGCTTCATAATTTTAAATATTTTCTGGCTTGACTTTGTCTTCGTTGTTGTTAATCTGGATTTTTCGTCTTACAGTTAGCTATACTAAACTATAGTGTAGCTAAATTCAGTCATTTAATAGGCCCTTAAATTTATTACAGTAGTGCAGGTGTCAGTTCAAACATAGCTTTCGTGAAAGTCGTTGTTTGTACGTTTCAATTAGAAAAGAAGACACGTGGATTTATAAACTAAAAATTTTGTAAAGTCGTCAGTTATATGGAATTATAATGGAGTTTGTTCCTATATGTAAGTAAAACTTATAATATTAATAAAAAAATATTAGAAACAAGTTGTAAATTCAGATGTTCATTACATGAACATTTTGCTTCCTCTTTACGATCAGCAAAAAAATTTGCTTCCTCGTGGAGAAAGCAAAATTTTATTCCCAAGATGTGAATTTTTGATTTTTTAACTTTCATTAATTCTTTAAATTTACCTCAAATGTATACTTTATATATATAAACTGAGTTAACTATATCCCAACCAAACTTGTTCAGTTGACTGTAAGTCTTTATTAATAAAAGTTGCATCATATAAAGAAAGCTCAATTTAATTAGTAAAATACGTGTTTTATTGACTATTTTCCTATAAGTTATGGGCCCAGAAGCTTAAAAACTACGCTGAATATAAAATGTTGTATACTGCGGTTCGAGAAGAGTAAAAAGTTTTTTTTTGTTCCGCTATACGCTAGTGCCTTTTTTGAGAAAAGTGACGTCGCAAATATTGTATGCAGTGCAACATTACAAGCGTTAATATATTTAACCTGTTGTTTGAAAATTTTTTTTTAAACAAAAAAAAAGTCAAAAGCAAACAAATAATCTTTGACAATAAGTAAACGTGAATGTATATTTATCGAACATATTGACATCGCGAACGTATTTCTTATAGTGTTGATTTACGTATAGTTCTTTTTGTTTTTTCGAGTCGACCTTCTTTTTCGAAAAGTAAAAATGAGTTTTTCGACAGTTAAAATACCCCCCCTTCAAAAAGAAAACTACTATACGTGGAAGATTCATATGAAGGCTTTACTCATCAAAAATGACGCATGGGGTTATGTCAACGGTACCAAAGTAAAGCCAGAAGTGGCAGAAGGAAGCGAAGCTTAAGTCAGTGAATGGACAGTCAACGACGAAAAAGCCATGTCAGATATAATACTTGCCATGAGTGCAGAGGAATTAAAACACGTAATTGGATGCAACACATCGAAAGAAATCTGGCAAAAATTAAAAAGTCTCTACGAATCAGAGGGGCCAACACGAAAAGCAATGCTCTTAGAAGAATTAATTCACCACAAAATGGATGAGTCTCAGGATATGCGAGATCACGTGTCGAATTTTTTCGACACAGTCAACAAATTGGAATCCATGGAAATAAAAATTCCTCAAGAAATGATCGTTATTGTTTTATTATCGAGCGTCCCAAAATCATACGAATCTCTGAGAGTTGCCATAAAATCGCGTCAAGAATTACCCACGCCTGAAGAATTAAAAGTGAAGTTAGTCGACGAATATCAAGCCAGAAAACGACACACAGACGAAAAATCAGAAGCCATGGTAGCATCGAAGACATCACATTTCTCTGGAAATAAAAATCACAATAAATCGAATAAAGGCAAAGACCAACATTTTAAATTTAAGTGCTATAATTGCGGGAAATACGGGCACATGTCAAAAGAGTGCAGAAATCGACGACCAACCGACAACAATAAAAAACAAGATGGAAAGGAAACGTCAAAAAAGGCTGAAGTAGCAATGAAAATTGAAACAAGTGCAAAAAGTGAAATAGTGATGGAAGCTACAGAAAGTGCAAAAAATAAATGGTGTCTGGATTCCGGTGCATCGTCGCATATGTGTTCTTCCGAAGGAAAATTCGGAAATATTAGAATGCCTAATACGCGTACCCTAAATTTAGCAAGTTCCGAATCAACGTCAATCGAAGGAATCGGGTCAGTTAAAATGCAAATAACGGAAGATTCTACCGTAAATCTTCAAAAAACACTTTTCGTTCCAGATCTTCGCTCGAATTTATTTTCAGTAGCAAAAATCACTGACAATTGATTTAATGTTTTGTTTGAAAAAGATAAAGCAGTGGTTATTGATTGTGCAAGTGATCAAGAAATTTTAAAAGCTGAACGGAAAAATGATTTGTATTTTGTTCAAGAAAAAACTGAAAAAGTTTACATTTCGGAGACAGGCAAGTCAAGTCTCCAAGAATGGCATGAAAAATTTGGTCACTTAAATGAAAAGAATTTAAAGGATCTAATAAAAAGTTGTAAAGTACACGCTATTACTGTCCCCAGTGATCAAAGTTTATCTACTTGCGAAATTTGTTTAAAAGGTTTGGAAGGAAACACCCCTCATAAAATTTGGAAAGAAAAAGTACCAACTGCAATTCATTTTCAAATTTTTGGTCAAAAAGCACACATGTTGGACAAATCTACCAAAGCGAAAACAGAGAGAGGAAAATTTTCCAGTAAAACGATCGAATGTATCTTTGTTGGGTACTCAACTGAATCCAAGGCTTATAGATTGTGGGATCCGGAATCAAACAAGATTCGTCGAAGCCGCGATGTTCGTTTCGTTAAAACTTTCGAAGGAAAACCGAAGTTTGAAAATTTCAAAATTAGTAAAATACCTGTTTTATTGACTATTTTCCTATAAATTTTTGATTTTTTAACTTTCATTAATTCTTTAAATTTACCTCAAATGTATACTTTATATATATCGATAGATTCGTCTTAACGTAAGGAATACGATTTTATTATATATAACCTTAAATTTTTCTATTTAAAAATTTTTTCGATTAAAAAAAATTTTTTGGAAAAAAGACCATAAATTTTTTTTTGGAGTATTTTTCAAAATCCTTTAGTCAGATTTGAGATATTAATATTATAAATGAGCCTACCAAATTTTATCTAAATCCATTAAAACCTTTTAAAGTTATCTTCTAAACAAAAAAGGGATCC